ATATATAAAATCCGCCGGGCGTGGAGGCGCAGCCTGTAGTCCCAGCTGCTCGGGAGGCGGCGGCGGGAGAACCGCGTGCGGCGGCGGGCGGGGGTCGACAGGCCGCCCCGCTGCACTCGGGCCTGGGGGACAGAGCCAGGCTCTGCCTCAGGAAAAACGCAAAAACCGCACAGCTGACGGACTCCCGGGAAAGCCACGTGCCGGACGACACGCAGCTGCTGCCCAGGACGAAGGTTCGAAGGGGAGAACACCCGTGCTCCGGAGTCCGGCGACCCCACGTCACGGAGGCGGGATTCGGTCCCGGGAAGACGGGGGCCAGCGGGAGGAGGACCGAGAGGAGGCCGAGCGCCCTGACCGGGCTCCCGGGGCCCGGGCCCCGCAGCGCCGCCGGCCGGACCCGCCCCACGCCCCGCGGGACCCCGAGAAAAGTCCACGCTCCCCTTGGCACAGTTCCCGCGCCGGACGCCCGGCGCTTCCGCCGCCCCCGGCCCCGTTCACTGCTCGCCCCGCGCAAAGCGTCCTCCCCCAAGGGGTGCCCGGCAGCCGCGGGAGAGCCACCCCGGCCTCTGGCGGGAGAAACGGCGGCCGCGCCCCGCGCCCCTCCCCGGACGGAGCCCGGTCTGCAGGCGCGCCCGACGCGCGGCCTCACCTCCGCCCTGGAGTTCACTTTCACGAATACTCGTCCTCGGTCCGTGTCGTAGCTCCGGCCCTGGCTGATGCACCCGCCCCCCGTGTGGCCCGTGGCCCTGACGGAGCCGCAGCCCAGCTCGCGCCTCAGCAGCTCCTCCATGTTCCCACCGCGGCCGCGGACCCGCCCCGGGCGGGGCAGAGACGCGGGAGACGGCGGCGGGGCGGGCAGACGAGAGTCCGCGCTGGGATTGGGCGACGGGCGGGCGGGGGCGGGGCCTGGCTGCAGAAACGAGCGCTAGGATTGGGTGAAAAGCGGGTAGGGGCAGAGCGTGGCCGCAAAGACGAGCACAGGGATTGGGTGGCGCGAAGGGGCGGGGCCTGGCCTCACGGATGAGCGCGGGATTGAGGGGCTGGAAGGGGCGGGGCCGGAAAGCAGGCAGGCGGGGGGATTGGGTGGGGATGAGATCACGTCGGGGGGCGGGGTCTCGCCGCCCACGAGGGTCGCTCGGCCCTCGCCAGGGCTGCGACCGCGACGATTTGGACTCAACTCTCCTGCAGAAAACAAGTCGAAGTGCTAAGTATATTTTCTAAAGCGCTGACCCAGTAGCAAGGGACCTCAGCCCAAGGTCTGGGTAACCGGAGCCCGGAATGCGAAGACCCCGAGGAACGGAGCTCCGGGTGTGGGAGTGGCGGGCGGCCGGGGCGCACGCGCGGTGGAGGCGGGGGGGCCGGGGCGCACGCTCAGTGGAGGCGGGGGGCCGGGGCGCACGCGCGGTGGAGGCGGGCGGCCGGGGCGCACGCGCGGTGGAGGCGTCCGTCCACCTGGCCCGGCCGCCCTGTTGACGGCTGACGTCAGCTGTCAGTTCCTGGGAACCTGGCAAGGCCTGATTTTGGCGGGTCGTGCTGACTGTCACAGCACTGGCTTCCCTGATCTGAGGCCTTCCGACCTGGCCCGAGCCGGGCTACCAGAGCCCCGGGGTGTCCCGCTCACAGACTTCTCAGCCTCCGTAATTGCAAGCGCCGGTTCCCCCCGTAAATGTCCTGCAGAGCCCTAATACAGCGATGCCCTCAACACGGGTTACCTACAAAGGGGGGCTCTCCCGGGAGGCGATGAGGCTTCGTCCCTCAGCACAGGATGGCGCTGTTCACAGAAACCATTCCCATAGTCTGCCCTTGCACGGATTTGCAACCCAAATTAATGTTACCTACAGTAAGCAAAAAATTCGAGTGTTTATTTTAGTCTAAAGCAGAAAGGAAATGTCGCTTCCCCGGACATGGAGAGAAGCGAACACAAATCCTCTCCTGAGGCCGGGCGGGGTGGTTCACACCTGTAATCCCAACACTTTGGGAGGCTGAGGCGGGTGGATCACCTGAGGTGAGGAGTTTGAGACCAGCCTGGCCAACATGGTGAAACCCCATCTCTACCAAAAATACAAAAATTAGCCGGGTGCAGTGGTGTGCACCTGTAATCCCAGCTACTTGGGAGTCTGAGGTAGGAGAATCGTTTGATCCCACGAGGAGGAGGTTGCAGTGAGCCAAGATCACCCCATTGTCACCCCACTGTCACTCCAGCCTGAGAGACAGAGCAAGACTCCATCTCAAAAAAAAATAATATTTAGAGCAGCACGACTCATCATAGCCTCAAGCATGTAAATCAGGCCAGGCACGGTGGCTTACACCTGTAATCCTAGCACTTTGGGAGGCAGGTGGATCACCTGAAGTCTGGAGTTCAAGACCAACCCAGCCAACATGGAGAAACCCCATCTCTACTAAAAATACAAAATTAGCTGGGCGCCTGTAATCCCAGCTACTTGGGAGGCTAAGGCAGAAGAATCGTTGAACCCAGGAGGCAGAAGTTTCAGTGAGCCAAGGTTACGCCACTATACTCCAGCCTTGGTGACAGAGCAAAATTCCATCTCAAAAATATATATATATATAAATCACCTGTGGTGAGCACACCCTACAGTCACCCCAAGGAGGGGACATCCAGCACGTGCTCCTCCAGTGCAGGCGGGGCTGTGCCTTGCCTCTGAACATGGCAAAGATCAACACTCCTGGAATGGTACTGTTGCATGAGACTCTGCATTAGCCATCCAGATGAGAGGTTTTCCTGCTGCCTTTTTTTTTTTTTTTAGATGGAGTTTTGCTCTTCTTGCGCAGGTTGGAGTGCAGTGGTGCGATCTTGGCTGACTGCAACCTCTGCCTCCTGGGTTCAAGGGATTCTCCTGCCTCAGCCTCCCAAATAGCTGGGATTACAGTTATTCACTACCACATCTGGCTGATTTTGTATTTTTAATAGAGACAGGGTTTCTTCATGTTGGTCAGGCTGGTCTTGAACTCCCGAACTCTGGTGATCCGCGCACTTCAGCCTCCCAAAGTGCTGGGATTACAGGCGTGAGCCACCGTGCGCAGCTCCTACTGCCTTTGAAGCAGGAAACAGCCATGCTGTGAACTGGAGCCAGAGCAGCCCCTCAGCAGGGAATGGAGGCTTCCTCTGGGACCCGAGTGTGCACCCAGCCAACAGCCAATAGGATGCAGGGGCCCTCAAGCACACAAACACAGGAAAATGAATCCAACAATCTGCATCACCTCAGAAGTAGATTCTTTCCTAGGGCCACCAGATGAGAACACAGCCCAGCCAACACCTGGAGGGTAGCCAAGCCATGCCCAGCTCTGGGCAGTGGAAACTGTGAGATCCTGAATGTTGCTATTTTAGGCTGCTAAGTTGTAGCAATTTGTTCTGCAACAGCAGAAAAACAATGTACAAATATTCATCAAGTATAGCCTGGACCCTATTCATAGATACAACCCAGCAATGATATAAACAGACTACAGTTATACTTAAAGAGTTCTATGTGCCACTGCTAGGCATGGTGTCTCACGCCTGTAATCCCAGCACTTTGGGAGGCCGAGGCAGGCAGATCACGAGGTCAATAGATGGAGACCATCCCGGCCAGCGTGGTGAACCCCGTCTCCGCTAAAAATACAAAAATTAGCTGGGCGTGGCGGTGCGCACCTGTAGTCCCAGCTGCTCGGGAGGCTGAGGCAGGAGAATTGCCTGAACCCAGGAGGCGGAGGTTGCGGTGAGCCAAGATCACGCCGCTGCACTCCCGCCTGGCAAGAGAGTGAGACTGGGCCTCAAAAAAAGAAAAGAGTTATATATGCCAATTACCAAAGAAAAACGCAACACATGCAGTGTAATTCCAGTTTATAAAGTTAAAAACCTGACAAAATTCTAGTATTTTGGAGTTCATATTTGGCGGTAAAATAAAGCAAAGCAAGCCCGTGGCCGTTTTAGTCTGCTAGGGCTGCCGTAGAAAGAGACCATCGACTGGGTGGCTTTCGAGACAGAAAGTTACTTCCCCAGTGCTGGAAGGAGGCTGAAAGTCCAAGGTCAAGACGTCGTCAGGGCTGGATTCTGGTGAGGCCTTCCTTCCTGGCTTGCGGACAGCCACCTTCTCACTGGGTCCTCACATGTCCTTTCCTCTGTGTGCAGGGGTTGAGGGAGAGACAGATAAATGGGGGCTCTTCCTCTTCCTATAGGTGACACCAGTCCTACTGAATTAGAGCCCCACGCCACGCCCTCACATAACCTTTATTACCTCCCTAAAGGCCCTGTCTCCAAATACAGTCACAGTGGTGGTTTAGGCGTCAGCTTCAATTTTGCAGGACATGGCTCAGCCCGTGACAGAGATTTCACAAAAGGCAGGATGTGGTTGGCGTGGACTCTGTTGGCGCCTTGCCCACAGACCCTTGATTCCCAGGGCCAACCCAGGTGCCTCCAGGCTCTGGCTCCTGGGACTTGGAGAGGGTCTCCTCTGCTATGCAGTGCAGGGCAGGCGTGAAGTGCTGGTGCCCCCAGGAACAGCAGCCTCTGAGGCAAGTTCTGCCTCCAGAATCCCCCACGGGATTGAGGCCAAGGCAGCTACACAGCCTTCGTGGGCTTCCAGCCTCACTTCCTCGACCCCGCGGGGCTCCCTGGGGTCACTCCCAGGTAAACTGCTCACGCTTGTTCCTTATCTGCTGGTCGGGGGAAAGTGTTTGCAGGGAATGGCAGTCCTGGGTAGGCCCAGGGGAGGTCTCTGGAGCATCAGCCAGGTTGTATTTCTTGACCCGGGGAGGTGATTCAGGCCGCAAGTGTTCACTTTATAGTTATTTACTAAATGGTACCTGTGTGTGTCTTCACACACTTTTCTGTGTGTATGCTGCATGTCACCCAGGCTGGAGTGCAGTGGTGCAATCTCGGCTCACGGCAGCCTCCGCCTGCTGGGTTTTGTGGGTAACCCACCTTCTGGGCACTGAGGAAGGAGAGCTAAGCAGACCCCTGGCACGATCAGTGCCTGAAGAGTAACTTACTGCTCATTTATTTCCTTCTATATAACCCTTTTATACAATCATGTCTTAGTTTGTAGTCGGAGGAATGTTGAGAGCAGACATGGCACAGAGCATGAACTAAGGAGAAACAGCCACACCAGGGCAAAAATCCGTGGCCCAGGCGGTAGTGCCCCTGCCTGAAAGGGCGTGCGCTACATGGCAGGCCAGCCCAGGCGGCAGCGTTCAGTGTCGTAAAGATACCCGATGTATGGCAGGCTTGGAGCGAGGGTCACTCCTCCTGTAAGGGAGTTGCAGTATTTTGCTTCCAATTCTTGTGGAAAGCTGGCCTCAGGCCGGCAATCCCGCAAGCGTCCGAGGACTGAAAACCCCTCCGGTGTAATCGCTCCTCGGTGGCTGTATGCCCTGTCGGCCCTCTGGCTACTGTGCTGACTCAGGGCACCCTCCTGTAGAAAACCTTAGAAGCTGCCTGCCGCTAGGTAAGAGATGTGGCACACTGTGCCCTCCTTGCTGCGCACGGCCCGCCTCCTAGCCTAGGTGACCTAATGGGGGTGGGCCCCGTGTTTATTACTCATGTGATTGTCTTGACCCCATCAGTATCCTTGAGATGACCTCACTCACTACTTGCCCCAACCCATACCTAATAAATACAGACATGCCTGGACGCTCCGGGCCTCACCTGTCTCCACTTGGGAGCAGCGTTGCGCCCCCGCCCCCCCAGCCGCTCCTATCCACTCCTTTGGTGTTTTGTCTCCTCATGTCTCGGATCCAGAGCCTGGCACAGCGATAGGGGACACCCCACGACCCTAGTACGGCTGGACCCCACAGGTTCAAGCAATTCTCCTGCCTCAGCCTCCCAAGTAGCTGGGAGTACAGGTGCGCACCACCACACCT